TCACATCTGCTGAGCATATGCATGGAGTTCTTTGTGGAGGGGGGTTCATTTCCTGACAGAGTACCTTCCAGTTCCAAACACTCTTCATTATATTGGGAACATTGACTATGACACAACTCCTCCAGAGAAGTCCTTTGGTTCATGTAGTAATTTGGTTTTGTGCCAAACATTGAAGTTTTATTGCTATCACATCTTTATTTCAGTATCCCATTTTCAAAATGCCTTTAGATCAAGTCCTTCTGCCTGAGGTTTAAGGTGGATCAGTGCAACAGGAAAAGGTTGTCCTCTGTCATCTTCACACCATAAGTTCTGCTCTGAAGGTAGTCCAGACACAAACAGTATTGGCAGATATACCACGAGTGCTGTGCAGGGGTCCACCAATTTTTGCAGACATATTTTTAAGTCTACACTGGTCTCTCAGTATGGTGGACTACTAGTATATGATGAAAATCAAAGACTGTGCAAATGCTAGAACAGTTTCAGAAGTGAACTAAAGCCCATTATCAGATATGAGGATTTTGGGAACTCCATGACTTACAAGTATCGTTTCTGGATGATCCATGCTAATGAACTTAAAAAACAACAAATAGACTGGTAGAACTTTATAGACGAACAAAACATGTAGCTGGTATGATGCATGAGCTTTCATGGGCACAGGGGTGTGCCCACGAAAGTTCATGATACCATCTACATGTTTTGTTCGTTTGTAAAGTACTACCAGTCTATTTGTTGTTTTTTAAGTTTATCTTGTACAGACTAACTCGGCTACCCCTTGAAGCTTCTGAACATGCTGATAAAGATGGTGTAAGTATAGCCAAGTCAATATAGCCAGAGAAGTAATCAGCTGCAATAAAGTATGTGTGTCCTTTCCTGAAAAATACAAAGCTGTAGCTACCTACGACCAGTGTGTCAAGAAGCTTTTTAAGAGAATCATGGTTCTGCTGATTTTTTTCCTTGTTACATATTTTACAGCCTTCTACTAAAGTTTAAATGTACTTACTTAGACTGGGCCACAGTATAGCTTGTTCTACTTATGTCCCGCATTTGAATATACCTTGGCATCCCTCATGAATTTTGGAGATCGTCTTTTTCTGAATTACTATAGGGATAAGAACGGGCAGGCTTTCAGGAGCAGGCTATTGGCCATGTGAAAGTAATTTTCTTCCTGACAATATGTCAGCATGTTTGTTGAAGTTTGTGTCCTTCAACTCCACTTTCTTCAGCAGAGTCCATTAGCTTCTTTGGACCACCTGTTCTAATCTACCTTCCTTCCTTGTGGGATGTTATGAGGATAAATACATGAATGAATATGAGGTAATCATGACAGGTGATATGAGGTCATATATATATCCTAGAGAGATAGGGAGCTGTGATCCAGCACATGATAGCTAGTAAGTAAATAGCAGAGAGATAATTCAGTGAGCAATCAGCCTTGTGTAGTTAGTTTTCCAATATTTTCGAGGCACCCTGTTTGCATAGGGAATGCCTGCTACCAACACATGAACATCAGAAGGTTCATGCCACGTTTCTTCCCCTTTGTGCCCTGAAGAGGAACTCTAAGGTCATGTCTACACTAGGAGATTAGTCTGAATTTATTAAGTTCGACTGCTGGGCACCCAATTTTACAGATTTGAAGTTCTGTGTCCTCACTACAGGGAAGAATTGAATGTGGTCCAAGTCAGGCTCCATTAGTGTGGATGCGCTATCTCGGACTCAGAGCTCCAGGAAGCATTCTGGTGAATTGCAAGAGGCCACCTGGAGGCCAATAAGTTCAAATTAGTGGCATTGGAGTGTCCACACTAAGGTTATTTTGGACTTACAATTTTGGAAATAGCATTCTTCCTTGTAAAAAGCAGGACTACAGAATTCGAATTCCACAGACCCTTATTCCAGAATAACAGGCTTGACAGTGTGGATGCATCGCTTACAAATTTGACCCCGGGAAGCTAATTTTGGATTAAGGTCCTCGGATAGGCCAGGCCTCAGGGACTTAAAGTCACTAGAAACAATCCCTCCATTTCTTTATATCTGAATACATAGTTTCTGCTGAAACAAAGTCACTGGCAACTTACGGTAACCATGTGCAGCAGTTTAGCTAGTGTCAGCCAGGCACTCTGTTCTTTTTGGACTTCGCCTGTCAGAGACTCTTATCTTTTACAAGAGGAAAGAAACACTTTTTTTTTCTCTGAACAGCATAAAGCCATCAGTGAAATCAGTTAGACAGTTGTAATGTCCATAACCCATCCTGCAGCCTAAAGCTATTTAGACTTATATGCCGTGTACCAAGTAGGGTATTGTTCACTCGACAGACGAAAGCATTTCCCTTATCTGCTTAAATCATTGTTTTGTGCACGTGAGTTCTGAATGAAGAGGATCCAGCTAAATATTCTCTCCTTCAAGATTACTTAAAGTCACCCCTTTCTTTAACCAACTCTGATCTTCATCTGCTCACGTTAATCTATGTTATATAACTACATTGAGTTCAATGTAGGTTTTTTCTGATTTACACCAGCTGAGTTTCTGTCAATTAGTTTCTTCAGTCACTACATTTTTGTATTCATAACAGTTTCTTGCTGCCATATATATGAATTTCTTTCTTGACCACTATAATGACAAATGAAACACTCACATGAAACAGTCTAGGTAGCCTTTATGTTCTGGAGCTTCTGTCTTTTAATATTATCCCTGTTTGTGGTATAACTAGAGCTGGCTTTCTGAACAGCCTGTGGGGAGGGTCTGAGCGTTTTCTTACAAGTCAGACAACATACTATTTCTTTGCATATTGTCTCTGCAAGCCTCTTTTGAAAAAGGCTTTTTTGAAAGATACTTTTGAAAAAGAGTGTCTAGACTACAACCAGTACTTTCAAAAAAGCAAGCCACTTTTTCGAAAGAGAGCACCCAGGCAGTCTAGATGCTCTCTTTCAAAAAAAGCACAGTTTGCATTACATAGAGCCTTTTTTCAAAAGATCACTTTTGAAAAAAGGCGTTCTTCCTCGTAAAACGAGATTTTCTGCGCTCAAAAAAACTGCTGCTTTCTTTCAATTTACTTTTGAAAGAACGCGGCAGCAGTCTAGACTCGGGAAGTTTTTTCAAAAAATGGCCACTTTTTTTAAAAAAAACCTGTAGTCTAGACACACCCTTATTAGTGAGTTATACATGCTCCAGTTGGTTTGGAATATGCTGAATGAAAAGCTTGGTCCCAAGAAAATCCAACGTCCCAGCTATGTCAATTAAGTTTCTACTATTGTTTTCCATTTAGTACCTACCTATTCTGTAGCAGGAGCATTTCTCAGCACATCTTGAGAGACAGCAGGGTCCAGTAGTTTGTTTGCTTAGTTCTATTTCAAGTTCTTCCACTGATTAGGTGTGCAACCTTGAGAAAGCTATTTCATTTCTCTGTTCCTCTATTTCTCTTCCCACTCTTTGTCTCATCTGTATAGATTGTAATCTCTTCAGGACAGCAACCATCTGTGATTATGTGTTTGTGCACAATGGGGTCTTGATTCTGACTAGGGCCTCAAAGTGGTACTGTGAGACTACGTCTAGACTGCAGGCTTCTTTCGGAAGAAGCTTTTCTGGAAGAGATCTTCTGGAAAAACTTTTTTTCGAAAGAGAGCATCTACACAGCAAAAGCACAATGAAAAAGCGATTTACTTTTTTTGAAAGATAGTGTCCACATTGATTGGATGCTCTCTCGCCTTTCAGTTGTGATTACTATGAATGGAGTGGGCATCAAGGCACCTGTGCTTTTTTCCTGGAGGCCTCTTATTTAAAAAAAAACACTCTCTTCCGTGTCCACACATGCCTTTTTCCGAAAAAGCTTTTTTGAAAAATACTTTTTCTTCATAGAAAGAGGTTTACCACTGTCAGAAAAGCCCCTCTGTTCCTTCAACTTTTTGTCAAAAGAACACAATAGCAGTGTGGACCTAAGTGTAGTTTTTCCGGAAAAACAACCGTTTTCCCCAAAAAAACTCTGCAGTGTAGACATACCCTGAGACATATAACATAATATTCTCTTCTACCTCTTTATTATTATTCATATTGCTGTAGTGCCTACTGCCCATCTAGGATTATGACAAGCCAATACAAAGATGGGATAGGTGATAGACAAGTTAATGTTAAAAATGAGTGTGTGAGTATGATTTGTGGTTGTCAGTGATTATAATAGTTCTCTTCTCCCCACACCCATTTCCTGTTTCTGTTTATTCACAGTTTCCTTGAGTGCAATGAATGTGTGTGTTAAGAGTCTCTTCTAGTTTAGTTCTCTTTAGAGCTGTTATACATGTCCTTCATTTTGTGAATTTCTTTAGATGGACATAAAAGTCCTAGAGATTGTGCATAAATATAAAAATGATCTCTAGCAGTTCAGGATAAATACTCCTCTGCCAATGTCATGAAATGCGTCCATCAAACTATGAGAAGAAAGGAGAGAAAAGAGTTTGGAGCCAGGCTGCAGCTCTGTTTGGAGCTACAGGTCACAGTGCAAAGAGGTGGCACATAGAGCATATCACTGTTAACCACCTTTTGAAGCAGGGCCCTTAAGATCTAACGTGAAAAAGGTGAACAGTGGAAATCAAGGATACAACAACCTGAAGTCATGATGGACAGTCCTGTGTGTCCTACATGTAGCAGTTTATGGTTCTTGCATTAATCTGACCTCATATATACAGGTTCACCAACAAAGTTGGCGGAAACTTTGTACATCAGCATCAATATAATAGTCCATCATTTCTGGGACAACTGTCGATCACATGATCATGACACAACCAAATCACTGTCACTCTGATATCACTCTCGATATAAGAAAATTATAAACAGCAGGCTCTTGGCAAGCCATTATTAGGTAGTTGCGACTGCCCCGCCATTCCCATCTTGCTCGTTGCAAGGTGCATCCCAGTGTAAAAATGGGATCCTGTTATGGATAGATTGAGAGCTAGTGGGGTAAATCTCAAAGAGCAGCCAGATGGGATGGAATAAAGCAAAAAACAATCTGTACTCACCTATGGTAGGATCATGATAATCGGGAAACCGATGGCTTATGAACTGCATGGTCATTGCTGGGGAGGAGAAAAAGAGAGAGGTTATGAAAGAATCTAGTGAAGAGATATGGGATGAAATGAAACCTGACCATGAATGGTTCAAGCACATTAATGGCACAATAAAATAAATCCAGATTCACTTTGTGTTGCTTTCTCTGCAGACTGTTTGCCCAGACTTAGTAGATGCCAATCACCAGAGTAATTTAAAACAGGACAAAAGGATATTCTCTCGGGAACAATCTTGTAACAGCTAGAGGCTGAGACTGGAATAACTTAACTTTTTCTTAATTGGGAGAAGCTAAGGGACAAGCTAATTGTTTAGGACAAGGCTACTCAACACGCGGCCAGTGGGTCACATGGTCTAGGACATGCCCTTTGTGAAAATAATCCATGGAAAAGATTTCAAACAATTCCAGTTTTATGTTGCATCACTCTACTGGAATGGTCTGCACACCTCATGGAACAAAAAGGGGTTTTTGAGGTCAAAACCAACAGATCCATGCACCAAACGCAAATGGGAAAACAGCCGTTTAGGTCTCGAGTCATCTACAGCCCTTGCAACACTGCTCTTCTACAAAGAGGGACTCAACAGTGTAGAGGGACTGTTAGCTATGTTAATGTTGACCCAATGAGTATCAATTTACCCATAAAAATATGTAGGGTTAATGGGGACACAGTCCTGCCTCCTACTCATTCCCAGACCATGGGTCTCTGGTTAAATGTATTATAATACTCGTGTAAACCCGAAGGAGGAGCTTATACGTGATGAGAGGAAATGATGCCAAAGTGCCTCATAAACATGTAGGTCTGTATAGGCTTTCTAGAAAACATTAACTTATGTTAGTCAGGTAGGGGAAGACCTCCCATTTTCAGATAAGCAACTTAGGAACACAGATTTTAATGCAAAATCTATGACAGTGCATTTATATATGTTTCACTATGATAATGGGAAAATACAAACATATTCATTGAAACATTTCTCTGTTTCTTCTTCTTTTAAACTTTATTGAACAGCTTTCATATTAAAAGCTCAACGATGAGACAGGTATGTCTATTTAGCAATTGGTTGATACCAGGGGTGGATGAGAGTGCCGCGGGGCCCAGGGCAGTTTGAATTAGCTAGTTCGAATTAAGGGCTGTGTATCCTCTTAATTTGAACTAGTGGGAGGCTAGCCCTTCCCAGCTTTCCCTGCTGGCCACTCTGGGCACCACCAGGGAAACTCGTCTGCCCCCCTCCCGGCCCCGGAGCCCTTAAAGGGGCACGGGCTGGCTACGGTGCCCGTGCCAGGTGCAAGCCTGCCAGCATCCA